GCTTAGGTGCCCCAGTCAGCTCATGAATCGACTTCAGAATTATCATGTCCCGCCTGGGGCAAGGGCGTGATAGATTAATCAATCTATTCGGCTTACGTGCCCCAGCCGGCTCGTGAATCGACTTCAGAATGATCATGCACCGCCTAGGGCAAGGGCGTGATAGAATAATCAATATATTCGGCTTAGGTGCCCTAGCCGGCTCATGAATCGACTTCAGAATTATCATGCCCCGCCTGGGGCAAGGGCATGATAGATTTATCAATATATTCGGCTTACGTCCCCATTCGGCTCCTGAATCGACTTGAGTGATCATGCACTGCTTGGGGCAAGGGCGTGATAGATTAATCAATCTATTCGGCTTAGGTGCCCCAGCAGGCTCATGAATCGACTTGAAAATTATCATGCGCTGCCTGGGGCAAGGGCATGATAGATTTATCAATACATTCGGCTTAAGTGCCCCAGCCGGCCCATGAATCGACAACAAAACTAAGTTTGCCTCCTCCGGCGCCCGAATGATCATGCACCGCCCAGGGCAAGGGTAGATTAATCAATCTATTCGGATTAAATGCCCCAGCCGGCCCATAAATCATTTCAGCATAATGCCAACGAACTATTCGGCATACGAATGATAAGATTTCCATGATATTCAATCATAGAAAGGTCAACAGAGTATTCATTCTAACTAAAGTAGTGAAAGGCAAGCATTCTACACCAACATAATATCACAAACTGCGCATTAGTAGTGAAACAAGAAGATGATTTTCATTAATAAATTGAGCACAGATAGTAGCCAATTTATACATGAAAACTACTCGAAACCAACAAAAGTCCTAAAAACAAAAACATACATTAAAAGGGAAAGTATTTCATAAAATTCGAATGACTCCCAGATCAATCCTCGGGGTCAGACTCAAGTGGCTCAACGTCCACCTGTTCATAAGGAATTAGCAAGGCCAATGTAACCCCAGCAGCATCAACGGCCTTGAGCCACCCATGTTTGAACCCCTAATTCTTAAATTTGGGGACTTCATCTACGTATTCTTTGAAGGCGGCGCCTTTTCCTGCTTTGAATGCGGCAGAAGCCTCAGATTCTGCCTTTTCCTTGGCCGCCTTCAACTCTGCTAACTAAGTCTTCATCTTGTTAATCGCCTCTTCGGCTAGCCTAAGCAATTCTTTGCTCGTGTTCGTCCTATCCTCGGCATCAGAACGGAGCTGATCGGCAGCCCGAGCCCTTTCCACTTCGGCTTCGGCTCGCGCAGTCTCCATAGCGGCCCTCATTATCTCAAACTCGGCCCTGCTCTTTTGATCGACCACTTCTGACTGCAAACAGTCAATCCTCTCAAGGGCATCGTGTAGGCGGCGGCCCAAGTCAGCGATCCTGCCGACCGTCTGCAAAACGAGTTGGGATCGTTAGATGCCATAGGCAACCAAAATCAAAACAAGTTAAAGTTCACCTACCAAAAGGGCCGACTGCGCAGATAAGGCTATGGCCACCAAATTCGGCACGGCATGAAAGGATGCCTTATCAGCTGGTAGGGAGACTGACGCCGCCAGGCTCAAGGTTACCGCCGGGTCGGTAATGATGGATGCGTCAGAAGGAATCGGCATGTCTCTAATCTTTGGCTGAACAATAAAAGGAACAACCACGTCCGATTCTTCTAAGCGAGGCCTTTTTTCACAAGACTATCTTCTAAACCGGCCTCTCCCTCGGCGCTACTCTTCTTGCCCTGCTCTTCTGGAATCAACCGTTCATCAATGACCGGTTGTTCAACCTCTTTCGCAGTTTCGGCCGCAACAATCTTAGCCGGCTCTTCAATAACGGGTTCAGAAGACTCAACCAAGGTAGGTCCAGAACGGGCGGCCATACGCTTGGCATTTTTCTTTCGAGACATCTGCGTGAGGCTTTCCCCAGCCGTACCTCCAAAAAAATCGCCGGGTAAGTCTCCCAAACCTCCAAAAATATCTCCTAAAGAAAACTCCCCTCGACTCGAAGTGGACGGCGAGGTAGGCTGACTATGTTTTTAGGGCCTCGTCAATCTGTTTAGCCTCCTCAGCGAACTTTCTGTTTGGTTCGGCGACTATCTCTACCACCGGCTCGACTTCTTGCCCCGAGTCAGAGGCTTTGAGACCAACTTGTCTGAGACTCTTGAAGCTAGGGAAGATAAGAGCCGCAAGCTGTCGATCGCCGGATGGAATTGGAATATTGTCAGCGGCCGAAAAAGTAGTGTAAGTAGGCTCGTACCGAAGAAGTATGTGCGCTGCTCTCCCTTGCTTCTGTAAGTTTGGGCGGCCGAAGTATCTGAGTGCAGTCGCAACCTGTGCAAGGACCGCGTCGTCGGTAGAAACCAGAACCGTCTTCAAATTACTGCCTACAAAGGCAAAGGGTTAGACACAGGGGGAAAGCCGAGTAAAAGAAAAGTTCAGTAAACACAAGGAGACACACGGCAACCTGGTTCACCCATCCGTCTGGGAATAGGGTCTAGGCGATCCTCGCCTTCACCAAATTCCCAGTTCCCTCGGATGTTGACCATTACGTCATCCACACGCTTGCCAGAACTGGCGAGCATGGTTACCAAATGATGGTTAGTATCCTTGGCCCTAAGAAAGTACCGCCCAAGCCGACTGGAAGATTTGGCTAAAGCATAGCAGTGCCGAATGGCCGGAATCCCAAGATCGATCCTGAGGCGCCGGTTTAACTCTACGATCCCCATTACGATTCGAAAAAAGTTCACGTTGGGCTGAGAAGGAATCAGACCCCAATAGCGGAGGACGGCCCTAAGGAATGGATGCAGGGGAAAACGAACCCCGCCCTCTGCAATGGATAGGAGAGGAAAGGCGATTGAATTTTGATCCTCTCTCTCCATATCCAGAGTGTTGTCCGTCACTAGAGATAGATGAACATCATCGGGTATGGAAAAGTGTCGCTGGAATCCGGAGACACGACCCTCAGAAAGGAGGTCTTTCAAGTGTTTGGCCATTTTCACGGGGAATAAAGGGTTCAAGAAAATGAAAATAATAAACAAAAAGTAAGATTGCAAGGAAAAGAGAAGAAGACTTACGAGGAGCAAGGGAGACGAGGGTAGACGGAGAAGTGTTGCAGAGAATGCGAGTCAGAGAAGAGATATCTGCTGGCAGTCCAAGAGTCTCGACTACTCAATGAACTGTGCATTTGGAAGGACTGAAATTTCAAATCACAATAAATGCGAGACGCACGATTGAGGCGGGAAAGCGTAATGATGAACGAAAAGGTGTGCGCATCCTGACATCTATATTGGGGTACGCGAAGCCGTCTGACCTATTTTAACCTTTCCAATTCAATACCAAACATGCCGATTAACTTCCGTCAATGGGGAGTTCGGAGGGCAATTGTGGGGGCCGAATACATGGAAAAATCATATGATGCATACCATTGGAAGACTGATATTAATCGGCTATATCCTACGAGAGTGGGGAGCCGAATATAATATATGTGCCGAATAAGTGTAAGTCCTTAGGGTCGAATAAAAGAAAGGACAATGATTAAAAAGTAGGCCCTGGCCCCGAGGATAAAAAAGAATAGGTATAAATACAGGAACAACGGTTATAGAAAAGTATGGAAGAATCACTTCACAAAACTTAGTAAAGAAGCTACCCTGAGTGTCTGAACTAACTTGTCCGTCGGAGTGCTAATTCCGGCACCCCCGACCGGAGTGTTTGTATATTTTCAGGTGACTATCTGAGGATCACTAGCGTCTCTCAGAATCCAAAGAGTATTTCCAAATCACTTCTCCACATGTGCTTATAGTATTGCTGCTACCACTGTGTTATGGTGGCCTAGTAAGAATTTCTGGTCAGAAACTAGATGATGTTCACAAGCAGTTGAAGTTGAACAAGCCTCCTCTTAAATCCATCAAGGTCCTCTCTCCAACAACCTTTTCTTCTCTCTCTCTCTATATATATATATATATATATATGTATATTTGCATGTTTTTGTATGTATGTATGTATTGATTTTCCATTAATGTTTTGTTGTAAAAAATAACAGAGTCCAAATGGAGATATAATCGATTGTGTCCGTGTGTCTCATCAGCCAGCTTTTGACCATCCTTTACTCAAGAACCACACCATTCGGGTCACTCTCTCTCTCTCTCTCTCTCTCTCTCCCTCCCTCCCTCCGTGTGCGTGTGTTGGTTTTTAATGAAGTATACTAAAAAAATTTAATTTAATTTAATTTTTTTTTTTTTTGTAAAATTCACTTTATATCGCTTTGTATTGTGTTTTAAAAATATGCAAATGTTTTTTTTATGTGATTTTGGATTAAAATATATAATTAACATTATTAACAAAAAAATAAAAAAAAGATGTCTTGAGTGGGGGAGGCATAGAGGGCTCATGGAAGTCACATGGCCTGGCTTTTAGAAAAAATAAAAAAATTCAAACATAAAGCACATATTTTAAAGAAAAGAAATTATAAAAATATTATTTAGACTTAAATGTCAATGACATTTTTTAAATTATGAAAACAATAATAATTATTTTGATTGAAAATAAAGAGATTATGATAAATCATATTATTATTTATGAAAATTTCAATATAATGGTGATGGTTATCATTGTTGACATACAAACATAATTAATCTCAATAAAGATATGAAATTTATTAGATTGTGAGTTATATTTGACATGTGGAGTTCATCATTTATGTGTTTCTTACAATTGGTTAGTGATATTGCATGTCAATAATGACGTGATATTACTATTATATTGAATTTTTACTCAAATTTTGTATAAAAAATTACTTTAATAGTATTTAATTTATTTTAAAACTTATATCCATGACATGATACACTAGTTACAAATAACATTAGTTTTTGTTTTTAAATTTTTTTTTAAGTCAATCGTAAAAATTTTCAATGTTATAATTGATAAGTGGCTTCTCTAATTTAATTTTTTTAGCTCCGTCACTGATTTTGAGATACACAGGAAAACTGGAGATGGCAAACAGCCTAGAAGCAGAAATGTAGGGAATATATAGCTTATGTTTGGGAAGAAGGTTTTGTGGTTTTTTTGGCTAAAATAGCCACAAAAAAACAAAATAGGCTTTTTAGCCCAATAAGGCAAACAATCACATCAAATCTATAATCATTACATTCTTTCTCTTACAAAAAAATCAAAAAAGTCAAAAAAGCCAAAATCTCTTCCCAAATCAAACTTTTTAGCCCTAGGTTAAAATAGCCAAAAAAGCCAAAAAGCCTCCCAAACCAAGCTATGGAGGGTTGACCATCATGTTTGAGAAAGGGTGGAGGGAGATCCAAGTAGAAACAGATTGCTAGAAAGCAGTGGACCTGCTGATCAAAGGTGCACCAGGTGAATTTCCTTTCAAGGCACAAATTGAAAGACTCAAGATTTTTGCTCCAAAGACAAATCAATGTGCTAATGCAGTAGCTAATATAGGGGTAGAACAATCTGAAAACTTTGTGGTCACTGAAGACTCACCTGTCCAGATGAGGCAGTTGATTGTAGCTGATACGTTAGGTGTGGTGTATGAGAGGGAGTAACTCTCTTCTCTTGCTGTTGTAACTTTTCCTTTGCACCTTAAAAAAAGAGATTGCATTGCATAGTAATAAAAATCCAGACTAATCAAATAAATTAAAATTTTTAGAAATCATATGCCTTGTTTGATTCCACTGAAAACATAATCTAAAAATGAATTTTGCCTAAAAAAAAAAAAAAAAAAATAAAATAAAAAAAAAAAATAAAAAAAAAAAAAAAAAAAACATACTGGTAAAGTCGATTGTTAAGTACATTTATCCTTTTTTAATTTTTTTTATCAATAATATTAGGAATTTGTTTTAATAAAAATATTAGGTCGAAAAACACATCTATAAATCACAATCATTCAAGTACGACGTCTTCCTAATTTTCAATTTATACCATCTATCTTATTTTTGAGATAAAATTCAGACCACAATTTCATGGTGCATAATATTTTCTCCTTTAATACCGTATTTAGTGTACCATATCATATGTGAACAGTGTATTAGAGAAAAACATGAATGGTGGGACTCATTATATCAATAATATGCTAACATATGCAAGGGTAGAGAGCTACACTGGACTTTCAAAAAGGCTTAGTAATATATGTATAGTTTTATTCAAAAGTTTTGGATTATAACAAATTGAATCCGGGGAAACCAAAAAAAATAAAAAAAAATTAGTTTTGGGGTTTATATTAGAGGTAAAAATAGCAATCAAATTTATACAATTTTTTTTTTCCAGTCTTTTAGATTGAAGTTATGGTATTGATGTCCCAATATTTTGTTTTTGGTTGCAATTTTACAACAATGATTCATCCCACTAAAAATATCACCACTAATAGCACTAATGCATTAAAAAAATAAAAAAAATAAAAAAGAATTACAACTTCAAGACCAAAACATCACATCATTCATGGCGGGACCCACTGCCACCTAATTAGTGGGAGCACTAATTAGTGCTCCCAAGCATTTTTCACAATTTTATTAGTTTGAATTAATTTTGTCAATGTTATGGTAAATATATAAAATTTAGGAAATGTAGCAATATACACCTCTAAAAAAAATGCACATCATAAGAAAAGTTTAAATTTTTGTGGTGAAAGACTTTGTTATAGGTGATATCTGGGGCTGGAGTGGACTGCTGCTGGGTGAGGAATGTTATGCTGCCTATTCTTTTTGCTGCTGTTAATTTCGGTTCTGCTTGCTGTTGTTAATTTGGGTTTGGAGTGGACAGTCAGCAGAGTGTATTTGCCATTGTTTTCTGTTGTCTGGTCTGTTGTTTCTTAAGTTTTCGGGTCTGTCGAGTAAAGAATGTTGGAGGTTGGAGCATGTCTATCTGCTGCTGATTTTGGAATTTTGTTGTGAGTATTGCTTCAGGCTGTATCAGTTACTGTTTAGGTGCACTGTATGCTGGACCGACCTAGATCACGTCTGGTGGGGTCTGTTATGTATGCTATGTCTTGGAGTAGTGTATGCTATATCTTCATATGGGGACAGAGTATCTATTTGGTCTTCACAAGGCTATTGCTGATCTAGTTGGTTTTATCACAAGGCTGCTGTTGATCTCTTTGGTTTTTCTTATAGCAACACACTCAGCTAGTTAGTCCCTATTAGAGTTGCCTGATTGCTTGTTGTATGTTGCTGCTAATGGTTGGGTTGTTCAGGGGGCTGTTCTACCTTGGTTATGTGTTTTTTCTTTTCGTTGGTCCCTCACCAACTATGGGGTGCTAGCAAATGATAGGATGATCTCTTTGGTGCCAACCTAGTTGGGATCAATTTGCTCATTGTGATGCGTTGCACTCCCATGCCCTTTATTGATGTATTTAACTTGTTTCATTGTACTTGTTTGTTCATCAATAAAGTTTTTTTTGCCGATCAAAAAAAAAATATTTACAGTGCCTCAAAGCAAATTAGTGCTGCCATATCTCCAGGTAATTTCTGTTAGTACACCGTGTTTTTTCTTTTGCCACTTTTCGTAGAGGTGGATGATTAATGTTCTTATTTCAACATTATTTGAATGATGATGATGATTGTGTTGGTATTTTTCGATAAAAAGTACAAGAAAAATATATAAAATGAATTAAATAGAAATGACAAATTTTTTATTTTTATTTTTTATTAAAGAATGAAATACAGAATAAACTACCCAACTAAAAATACATAAATAAATTAAATTATATTACTAATAGAACAAATTATTAACATGGATAACTAAAGATTAGAACTCATCGAGATAAACTAAATTTTGAAAAATTTAATAACAAATTATAAGAAAAGAGGCAAACTGAAAACTGTGTGATATCACAGCTTCCTTAAAATAGATTCGCTGCCTGCCGATAGATACTGGAGATATGCCGGCATCTGTCTCCCAAGATACGACTGTCGAAACCAATTAATGCAGAATCCCCTTTTAAATAGCATCAGCGAACTTGACAATGGTTGAATTCTCTCTAACAAGAACCAAAGAAGAGGCTAATAAAAGAATATAGGAAAAAATTTCTTTAGTGCAAAAAAAAAAAAAAAAAAGAAAAGAAAAAAAATCTCAAACTTTTTATCTCAAAACACGATCTCCATTTTCCATAAAAAAATCTCTCAAACATTATCTTACCAAGTTAGAGGGAAAATACCTCTATTTATACAAGTTAAGGAATCCCTAACCATGAAGGTTATACATCAATAGGGCCATCAAATATCATTAACCAAGGCCATCAACTCTAGTCTACAAAGGTTAAAAACTTATGGCCATTGATATGGTCATCAACTCCATCATCAAAAGATGAGAGTTATAAAAATTTACATTTCTCATGTATTTAATATATACAAATAAATATGTATATAATGATGTTTGAATAAACTAACTAGATGAGTCACAAAATGGATGCTGATGTTGGGTCACAACCCGATCTAAGCTCAATTCTTAAACACATGCACAAGTTAAGCCTAACACATCATAACTTAGCCCAAGCTCCAGATTAAGTCCAAGTCCAATTCTAAGGCCAAACCCAGCACATGTACAAGCATAAGCCTAGGCCCAGTTCAAACCAAGATTAAGTCCAAATCTAAGCCCAACTTTATCGGTGCCCACTTTACGAGACAATTTTCATTCAAAATTCAATGGTTTCAGCTTATTATTTTTGTGTTGTAATATTCTCACTTAAGAGAATACAAAATCACTCAGCCCAACCTCAACTAACAGTTAGGTCCCACTTGAGTGGTTAAAATGCAAACACTACAAAATTTTAGGGGCCAAACAACAATTTCAAAACGTTTTGGGGTCAAAATGAAATTATCCTAAAATTCAGGGACAAAAATGCAATTTTTGAAAAAATTCTAGTAACATGGTAGTCTTAGTGAAGTGTCACTGAGTGGTTTGCCACATGTCATTAACATGGCTACTGACTAGGCTACTACATGACACTGACATTATCTCTGAATCATGATGATGCCATCATTTGATAACAAAAACCACCAAACTTTTCGACAACCATGTGGGTTCATCAAGATTTTGTTGAGATGTTCTTTATATTGTCAGAAAGCACTTGACGAAACGAATCTGCTAAAATTCTCAAAACACAAATTCCAACACTTTATTTTTTCCAGAATTTAATTAACTGAATTAAATCGAAATGGTTACTGAACTTTCAAAACAATATATGAAATAAATTCGAAATAAAACTCAACATTAAAGCGAATATTTCAATTTACAGATATGTCCACAAAAAACTAAAAGTCTAATCTTATTCCTTGTTTCACACGAAGGTAATCATGTTTAAATCACAAATTAGTAGTCCAATATATTTGTTCCAATTTGTTTTGTTCATTTGTATCCTCCTTTTGCACTTAGGTAAACCTATACAGAAAGTTAGCTACAAAACAAAATAAAAAAATAAACAAATCAAATAGATTAGTAAGAACTTTAAGAAATAAGATTCTTATTTTAATTTTATAAAACTTCTACCAACTTAAGCTCTAACAATCAAATAACTCATGTAATAATAACTAATTAACATAAAATAAATTGCATGAATAATTTACTAGAAATAAACAACTCAAAACAATCCAATAATTCTAGGCAATTAAATTAATTTTAATTCCAAGAGTCACTAGAATAAAATAAAAAACTAAATTGTTTTATCACAACAATTTATATAATTATGTTTTAAGAAAACCTATTATTATTAACACAAATAAAGAACTAGCACGGTGTATATCCTAGGTTCTCAGGAAATAGTAGCATGCAATTTTTGTTTTTAATAATTAAACATTAATCTTCAAAAATTACATATGAATCTGTTTTAAAATTGTTGGTATCTTTTCATAAAAATACAAGAAAAATACATAAAATGAATTATCTCAAAACCCCATCTCCATTTTCCATCCAAAATCTCTCCAAAATTATCCTACCAAGTTGGAAGGGAAAGGCCTCTATTTATACAAGTATGGGAATCCCTAGCCACGAAAGTTATACATCAATAGGGCTATCAAATGCCATTAACCAAGGCCATCAACTCTAGCCATTAAGGCTAGAGTTACAAAGGTTAAAAACCTATGGGCACTAATATGATCATCAACTCTATCATCAGAAGATGAGAGTTATAAAAATTTAAATTTCTCATGTACTTAATATATATACAAATAAATACGTATATAATGATGTTTGAATAAACCAACTAGATGGGTCAAAAAATGGATACTAATGTTGGGTCACAACCCGATCTAAGCCCAATTCTCAAACACATGCACAAGCTAACCCCAACACAACATAGCTTAGTCCAAACTCAATATTATGTCCAAGTCCAAGTCTAAATCCAAGGCTAAGACCAAACCCAGCACATACACAAGCACAAGCCTATGCCCAATCCAAACCAAAACCAAGATTAAGTCCAAATCTAAACCCAATTTTGTTGATGCCCATTTTATGATACAATTCTCATTTACTACTCAATGGTTTCGGTTCATTATATTTGTATTGCAATCTTTTCACTTAAAAGAATACAAAACACTCAGGCCCACCTCAACTAGCGGTTGGATCCCACTTTAATTTCAAATTAAAGTTACCGAAAAACTATTATCTCCAACAATGTGTACCCCTTAAGTTAAGTTATGATTGGCCAAGTTATATTTTTTATAATAAGAGTTATATTTTTTGTGAATAATGAAATGCTATAGTTTTGGTATGTAAAGTGCATACCATATATGCACTTGTCTTAGATGCACATAATAGCCTTTTTGTATTAAATTTATATGTTCTTGTTTAAATTTTAATGTTGGGTGCACATGATAGCTTGTGTAGAACCAAAAAATTGACATGACTTTAATAACATGCCAGATGACCCACTCATTCAAACTCCTGGCTACAACCACTGGACATACGCGATCATATAAAAAAGTGAGAAGTATAACATTAGTAAAGGACAAGGTATATGTAACTTTTTTTTTTAATCAACAAGATATACACAATATTATCTATATTTGTGGTGAAATTATTAATTACGTGACTCAAATTTGCACCAGCAAGGTGTCTCAACTATTTGTGGCGTTATCAAGCAAAATTTTAAATGGAGGCTTTTCTGGTATTTATTTAAATTTAAATGGAAATTAATTAAATTTTCTAATAGTAAAATTTTTATTGTTTTTCAAGATACTAAATTTCTAATTAAGTGTTTACGATAAAAATTTTCTAACATATTTTTTCAATTTACTAAATAATTTTACAATCAACTTTAGAGAGAAGATGTTAGGTTTCTAACACATGACTATTTTGGGGTCAGAATATAAATTTCATTTTTATCTGGAATATTTAAGTATATATGCCTTTTATATATTTAATTAAGTACAAATATGGAATGATTTGAGCATGTGAGACCTTGTCACATTTTTAAACTCAAAACAAAAAAAAGGAAGAAGAAGAAGAAGAAGATTCACCCAACCTTTTGCCTAATAGAAGCACATAATATTAATGTTAAGAGTCTTAAAAACTTGGGATCTTTTCAAATATGGACCCTTAAATAGTTGTTTAACTGCCTAATGGACAGACCACCCCACCAATTCAGACACTAACTACAGGTCTTATAATTGGAGTGAAAACTTACCCATTTTTAATGTTTTTGTTTCTCATATCTGTTCCAAATATTAACTACAAAAGCCTACCATTTGGGCTAAAGCTTACCCATTTCTAATGGAGTGTTTTGTGCCAATAATAGATGAGGCCAAGTTACTACCCAAAAGGGCTATTTGAAGAGAACAAGGAATCCATTCCAAAGTCCAATGAAGGAATATCAAAGTCAATTACTCGCACTTAAATGGAAGGTGCCCAGAAGGAACTATTCCCATTAGAAGAACAAAAAAGGAGGAAATACTTAGAGCAAGCTCTATCGAGAGTTTTGGAAAGAAGCAGCATAGAACCATCCCTAAACGAACAATGTTTACTCAACCTGCACCCCTTAATCTAAGTGCTCACGAGGTACAGCCACTACCATATACAATCTTTGTGCATGAATATATGTATGTATGTAGTTAAATATGATAAACGAATGAGAGAATGAGTGAATATATATTAAATTAAATACTAAACATATGAATATAAGGACTTTTATATATAGTGAAGGACAAGGCCTAAGTATGTAATACGGATAACTTTTATCTATAGTAATAGAATGAAATTGAATCTATATAAATATATATATTATCTTATTACAAAGAAAATTTATATATAAGATAATATATATATATATATATATATATATTAGATATTATATGATAATATCATTATATATGTATATATCGAATATATTGGGTTGATCTGATAACTTTACTATTTTAGTGGGCTTTTTTACTAGTTTAACCTAGGTTAAAAAGTTGTATTTGGAATGATTATGGTTTGGATATGACATTTTATCTTATTGGCTATTTTAGCCTATTTTGTCTTTATTGACTATTTTAGCCACAAAAAAAAAAAAAAACCTCCAACAACACCCCCATTCTAACTTCCCTTCTCAAACTCAAGGTGGTTGAGCAGACAACTTGAGTTTGGCAAGTAAAGCATGAAAACGTCTAAGTGGATGTGCTTTGGCGAATATATTAGCAGTTTGATCGTTAGAAGAAATAGAACGAAGGCAAATAGTACCACGAACAACATGCTCACGAATAAAGTGACAATCGATCTCAATGTGTTTGGTACAATCATGAAACACATTGTTGTGAGCAATTTGAATCACACTACGGTTGTCACAACAAAGGACAGTAGCGGAGGAATGAGTAATCCCCAAAACTGAGTAACCAGTGAAGCCATAATAATTCTTGCGTAGTGTTTGCAAAAGCACGATATTCTCCCTCCGTACTGGATTTGGAAATAACAATTTGCTTCTTGCTATGCCAGGAAATGAAGGAATCACTGAGAATAAACAATATCAAGTGGTAGAGCAGCGATCAGTTGGATTACCTGCCCAATCGACATCAGAATACAAGCATGCAACTCCAAGATAGAATGAGAAAAATAATGAAGTCCATGAAATAAAGTACCTTTTACGTATCGAAGGATATAAAGGACAACAACGTAATGAGTGGAGTGTGAAGATGCCAAAAATTGGTTGACAAAATGAACGACATAGGCAATATCCGGTTGGGTAACACTGAAATAGACTAGATTGCCAACTAAGTGTTAATAAATGTGGCATCAGAGAGAGGAATGTCATCTAGAGGAGTGAGACGAACATTTGTCTCAATAGATGTGGAGGTAGTCATGCTGTCAGTGAGACCAACACGGGTGAGTAAATCAAAGGCATACTTTGCTTGAGAGACATAATAGCCACTAGAGTCGGAAGAGATTTCAAGACCCAAAAAATAGCTGAAAGGCCTTAGATCCTTCATCTCAAAATAACTATTAAGGGAGTGCTTCAACGTAACTATACCAGTAACATCATCACCAGTAATGATCATGCCATCCACATAAAGAAGAAGATGAGTAGTGTCATGATCAGTCTTGTGAATGAAAAGAGCATAATCATATGGACTAGAAGCAAAGCCAAACTGTGCAATAGTGGTACTAAACTTGGAAAACCAAGCACGAGGAGGTTGACCATAGAGAGCATGTTGAAGTTTATAGACCTTTTGAGAAGGATGATCATAGCTAGAAGGAGGTTGCATATATACTTCTTCAATGAGATCCCCATTGAGAAAGGAATTTTTTGTATCCATTTGATACAGGCCCCACTTGCCAACAACATCAACGACAATGAGACCACGAACGGAGGTAAGGCGAGGATTATGAACAAATTTCTCCTCATAGTCAATGCCATACTCTTGAGTGAAGCCTCGAGCAACTGAGGGTGCTTTGTAACATTCAATAGTGTTGTCAGAACAAGTTTTGATCTTATAGACTCATTTACATCTAATAGCAGTCTTGCTAGAAGGAAGGTCCACCAAATTCCAGGTATGATTTTTGGCCAAAGCTTGCAATTCATTAGTCATTGCTTGCTGCCAAAGAAGATTAGAACTGGCCTCACGGTAAGATTGAGGTTCATGCTAAGAAAGAATAGTATAATAACAATGATAATTATGAAGATGGAAATGAAGTTATTTTACCCAAGTAGAATGACGAAGAGGTGAGTCAAGATTAGAAGATGATTCATTGGAATCAAGTGATACAAGAGGCTCACTGTGAAAGATGACGGGGGCAAGACTAGCAGATGGAGCAAGATTCTCAAGAGTTTGAAGTGGGGAGGCACCACGGGGTCGACTGTAGGTAAGAGCATCTTTGTGGAGGCTAGAGAATCATATGTTTCAATCTTAGCAAAAAATGAGATAAGTGAAATTTAGATAGAGATGAAAACATTTTGTGTTCCCAAAAAACGAGATGGAGAGAAATGAGAAGACATTTGGAAATAGGGTCTCTACATCGATATCCTTTGTGTTCAATTGCCATACTGTAGAAAACAACATAGATGAGAATGAGGTTCTAGTATTGTATGAGAATGAGGTTGCAACAACACAAAACATGTAGAACCAAAAGACTCGGAGAGTGGTGTAATCAGGACAAAAAGCATGGTTGATTCTAAAACAACAATGAGGGCAGTTGTGTCCTAAAACTTTTCAAGACAAGAAGAGGAAAGAAGAAGGGCTCGAGTATGTAGACGTCCCCGAACGCCCCGGGAGGATGAGTCCCGTTCTGTTCATTTGGGCTTCACTACAGTTCAGGACTCTCAGATTGTCACGGTTCTAAATCTGAACCAAAAGAGTCCAAATCCGGCAAATCGTTTTGAGAAAACAGATTTTGAAAGAAGTGCCAAACATGGACTACTTTGCCAGATACAGAGTCGCCACCTAAATGTTTTATTTTGGGAAAATTTAGGAAACCCTGACTCGTTTGCCTAAGGCTGCGTGTCCGTCATCACCAAAGTTGCCTCGGCTCGGGAACTTGGGTACGATTGGGGAAGGTCACTTCGTGAGCACCACCGCTCGCCCGATCAAAGATCGGCCTCTACTAACCATGATATCTATTTTTGAAAACTTTATGCGTTCTTATTACGGTTATTAGCCTAGATTTACTATGTGATGCGCACTGCATACAAGTATAGACTGGATCGCCTGAATTGGAACAAAAACGTTTCATGTTTGTTTATTTGAAAATGGTTTGATGGTGCTACCCGCAAGTAGGCTAAGACGTGGATTTGCCACCCTCGGATGGGCTTAGAACAAACATGATTTTTCCAACTATTAGTGGGTTAATAACTCACAGTCAACGAATGTTCAATCCAAAATATGCAACCTGTTCACCACAGCATCAGTTAGTTATATCACATAGCAATTAGCCCTCATGGTTAAAGCAATGCTATCATGGTAGTCACTCACACCGCATGCAAGAGATGCTACAGCATAAAACTTACTAGTACTACAAGCCAAACAAAAGACTTAATTAGATGAATCCCATGCATACTCCTAATTATACAGAATGCCTAATGCAACACATGTGAAAGTGCAACTATAGCAGGATTCGGCTATTCTAAACATGACATATAAAATGCTACAACTAACTATTCACACTAGATGAAAATACATGCATTTATATGATGCGCCGAGCCGGTGCATGCAAAACAGAGAATGAATGCAAACATGCTGTCATACTGATGCTAATGTTGAAACATGCCCGAATTAACCATCATAAGCGATAATAAAAAGGGAGAAAGACGTGGCGTTGGAAGAGCATTACATCACACACAGTTCGCACACTTATTAAACATTGCCTCGTCAGAGGGTCCAATGAATAATACATCAGTTCCAAATGAATATTACAGTCCCAAATTGTACAAAACCTATTAATTAACAATTAAATTTAGAAAGCATAAATTGGCATGCAAGCCAGGGACTGCCTCAAATCTGCTCCGGATGATGAATGATGCATGCTCGGGTTGCCTTGTGCGGAGAATCCCTTGCGATGCCCCGGTTTGCCTCTGTTTGCAATTGTTCTTGGAATGCGTGTCAAGCTCCGGAAGGCTGCCGATTTCTGATTTGCTGCAACAGAGAGCAACAAAGGGGCATGGCAAAGTATTTTCACATATGTATGCATGACTACTCTTCAGGGAGTGTAGTCATCGATCCTCGTGCCACCAATCACGCATCTCGATGCATGATGGTCGAGGAGTCGAATTGCACGACTCAATATAAAATGAATGCACATGAAAACACAATAGGGCCTAGACTCCATCATGGATAATCCAGAGTGTCGGCGACCAGAAATTGAGATACGTTCCGTCACTCGGAGTACGAAACGTCTCTCGTTTCCCGTGCTTGGGCTAACTCCTATCCCAAACACAATGCAATATGCATGACATGTATAAATGCAACTAATGTATAACCTAGCATGCACAATGCTATGAAATGGCATACACGATGCGCGAGGTAACATGGAATACACGATGCGCTAACATACAACCTAGCATACACAATGCTATGGAATGAAACGGCATACACAATGCACAATGGACTTACACCAACATGAGTGGACCACAGCCACACTCACATCAGTAGCCATTAGATGAAAATGAGGCACTCGAAATGCGTGCACACATGCACGCAAACTGAGGACCAAGCCTAAGGCATCAAATGCCACTCTACCCAAAGCATGGCAAGGCATGGAACATGGTATGCAAGCATGAAAATTTCAGCGCTAAAATATGATACAAAACAGCCCCGAAACATGGAAACATGGCACCCGATACATGGAATGAACCCCAAAATTCGAACTAGGCACATGGAATGACTTACAGCTATACAAAGCATGCATTATTTGATCATGAAGCTTGAAGACAGATGAAAGACAGTCCCAAAACATGCATATTTCCAGTTTATAACAAGCCTAAAAAATGAACACAAATAGGGCTAATCTATCATGCAAAAATGGCCCTAAGAGAGAGATTAAACACAAACGGACAGCATCTGGCCCCAAATGGAAAAGAGCCCTTCAACAAAGTTGAAGAGGGGCTCAACATAAGGCACTTTATGGTTTACATCAAGCCAAGAAAATAATCACAAATAAGGCCAAACTATCATGCAAGAAAAGGCCTAAAAGAGGGGTAAAGAGACAAGTGGTAGCTTCTGTTCTCAAACAGAGGAGAGCTCTTCAACAAAGTTGAAGAAGGGCTCAAAACATGATATTTTACAGTTTATGGAAAAGTCCAAAATAGCTCACAAGTAATCCTAAAATACTATGCAAAAATTGGCCTAAAAGAGAGTTAAAGAGGCAAGTGATAGCTGTTGGCCTCAAACAGAGGAGAGCCCTTCAACAATATTGAAGAGGGGCTCAAAACAAGCTATTTTACAGTTTATGGCCAAGTCCAAAACAACTCACAAATAAGCCTAAAATACTATGCAAAAATTGGCCTAAAAGAGAGATAAAGAGGCAAGTGGTAGTAGGAGACCTCAAACAGCAGGAGGTCCTTGATCAAACATGAAAAGGGCTCAAAACATGACTATTTACAGTTTGGGTTGGAGCCCAAAAAAGCTAGCAAGTATGGCTTAGACAGCATGCAAAACAAGACAATAAAGAGGGAAAATGGGACTTACCCATGTAGACCAATGAACCAGTAGCTCTTGGACCAATTTTCTGAGCCTTTAACCTCTTCAAAACAGTCCCAAAGTGCTGGAATGAGGGATGGAGGCCTTGTGCTATGAGGTGTCGGGTAAATGGTGTAGGACTTAAGAGGTTTTGGTGCTTGGAGTAGAGAGAGAGAGAGATTGAATGCAAGAGCTCCAAACAAGTTTTTGTAACCCTCTCAAATGCAGCTGGAAGTGCTGGTTTTATAGGGAAAGGAGTGGAGAAAAGGGGGGGAAAAACTAATTCAAATTTTCCCCCAAAAGGGAAGACCTTCGGACAGTGGGTCAAATGCAGAATAGCTGGCACAGTTAGAACACACTCAGGAGGGCAAAAATGGCCGGCCGGCCAGCTCAAAAGGGCCAAAGTGGTTGGCCGGCCAGGCAAGGTGGCCGGCCGACCAGGTCAAAAGGGTCAAAGTGGTCGGCCACACCCTAGGATGAAGCCCCAGAAGTTAGCTTTCCAATGCCGCAAACCTTGCATCAAAATTTCTTCTGTGCAAAAAGTTATGCCAGTTTTCGTGAAGCCACGCAGATTCGGTCCAAACGAACTTCAACCAACCATATCTCCCCCAATCGAACTTGTCCTTAGGAGATTATTGAGTGAAAAATGAAGCCCCGGAAGTAAGCTTTCCAATGGTGGTAACCTCATATCTTAAATCTAAGTATGCAAAGAGTTATGCTCGTTTCGGTGAAGCCGCGCAGTGTTTTCCTCCTTCCTGGATTCATGCTGAATCACTTTTGACCAAAAAACGCTGGTTTTTCAGAAAAATTGCTGGCCTCCCACTCTCCTACAACCTTTCTAACAACGAAAATAAGGTCTCCACCAAAAATGAACCCAAACCGATGCAAAACAAAGTTTTGGGGGCCAAAACACGCGGTCCGGGTGCCCAAAAACTGACTGTTAAGCACCGGAGGTGGCGTTTGACCACGAAGTTGGTCTCGCGGACCCCAGTGTCCCTCAAAAGGGAGGAAATAAGATGTATGCCAAAAACCGGAGCAAACAGAGGTGGTTAAGCGGTCCTGAACCGAGGCACACGGCCGTCGGCTCCGAAAAATCGGAAATCGGGCTCCAAACGAGAAAAATGGCCTACGACCACAAAACGTAGCCTACGGCCACCGAGAGATGGTCTACGAGACCTCTCGCTCCCTTCAGGAAGAGAAAACAGAGAAAACAGAGCCTGGTTCGCAAACCGAGGTAAGGCACGAAAGAGTCCGGAGGCAAGGCTTGCAGCTGGGACTCTGAAACTTCTGAACGAGCGCAATATGCAATATCACCGAGCGCTCAATCAGTGACATCTGAATCTTAAGGTCAGTCAAAAATGGGGTGTCTACAGTTGCCCCTCTTTGACAGAACTCGGAAGTTATAAGTGACGGGAGTGAATGTCAAAGCCTAGAGACGACCCATTTTTGACAAGGCCGAAGACTTAGACAAACAGGAAAGACAAACAGAGATGTGCCCACAGGCATGCCCGCAGGCAAGGGCAAAATGCAACCGACAATGCAAGAAGCCGAAGATATCTCAATGATCATGCAAATGCAGCAAGCTGTAATGAAGCACATATTCACAATAGATGCAACAGTTTTAAGCAAGAATGCAAAGCAATAACTTCATTTCATGCAGTTAAGAATGCGGAGAATTGTTCGATTCTCGCTACGTTTCACACGGAGAAGATACAATACCTACGCGATTCGTCTGGTTGCACCAGCTTCGAATGAACTGTACATGCAATATCGTGCCTCATGTTGCTGGGGATCTCTCGCTTCTTCTTGATTGAGCCACAGGTACTACTTTTCTTCCTGACTATGGTCGCAGCTTTCCCTATTCTCCAACAGGGTGACAGACTAGGTTGGTTTAGTATCTAGAATTGAGGCGCATACACATGCTAT